ATAGTGTAGCATTCACAAGGTTGGCCGACAAAGAGTACATTTGGCGCATTAACTAGCAACCTCAGCTTCCTCTAGTCTTTGTTCTTTTTCTAATATATCTTAATTTATTTAAGCTCTTGTAAAAAAAAAAAAATAGTAAACAACCAAACAAATTGATAACTTTACTATCACATGAATAAACTACCATTAAGATTTACTACCCCCGTTTCACATTATGTGCAACAATTGGGTAATTTTTGTGAGATATGAAATATCCAATTGTTGCACATAATGTGTAACAAAGGTAATATTTATGACTTCCTTGCAAGTCTTCATATATGTAAACAACACCAAACATTTTAGTTAGCTCATCAAAGAAAAGTATGCACTGTATTTATTGTATGAGGCGGACTTATACTCCATAATAATTTATTACTCATATAAGAGAGTGATTAGTCCATCTTAAATTTTGACACTAATGATCCTCACTTTTAAAAATATTGATACTGTTTATTCAAAAAAAAAAATATTGATACTACTTTTTTATATTAAAAAAAGAGAAGGTATTACGTGCGGACTGTTGTACGCATAATTACGTGCGGCAGACTTACAAACCAAAAACCCATATTGGCTGATATATTTCTTTAGTTGGCTTATATCTTTATTTTGTTGGCTGATATATTTATTTTGTTAGCTTATATGTTTCATTTTGTTGGTTGATATGTTTATTTTGTTGGCTTACATGTTGCTCTTGTTTGCTGATTTCATCCTTTTGTTGGCTGACATGCTCCATTTGTTGGCTGATATGTTCATTCTGTTGGCTGATATGTATCTTTTGTTGGCTGATATGTTCCTTTTGTTGGCTAATATTGAAAGCAACGGTGTCCTTCGAACAAGTGTATTATTCCGATAGAGGGTTCAGAATTAATTAGGAAAGCTAATTATTCAGTGAGGTCAAGTGATAGGAATGCCTAGCTGGAAGCCGTTTCCGATCAATAATATTAATGTATAATTAATATTACAGCTTGCTCTTGACTAAACCCAATCGTGTAACCGAACAACGGCGACGAATTAATCTGAAGGATTAAATAAGTCGATAGAGATTTTATGAACTCAAACGTCAGATTCCGAGCTTAGAGCGTCAAACCCGAATGTTGCTAGTCGAGACGACTGTAGGAGTTGATGAGACGAGAAAATAATCAAATAACATATCGTGCTAAAAATTACAAGCATAGCACAAGGCCTAGTCATGCCTCATATCGAAGGCAAGTGACTAGGGGCCGCAAGCACTAAACCACCGAGTCACCGCAGCCATCGCAAGGCCCAGCTAAGGTGACCTTGCTTGCGGGCTGGGTGGGGCGGCCTAGTGGCCTGCGTACTAAGGCAGCCTAGCTGGGCCTGCCTAGCAAGGCCAGCAGCAAGGCTGGCGCTTGCGGTGCTGCTACTAAGGCCACGCTGCTGCTGCTGCTGCTGGGCTTGCGGTATGCACGTGGGCTTGCGGCAGCTGGTGTGGGCTTGCGTCAAGGGGCCAGTAGGCCTAGCCTTGTGGCATAAGGATGGCAGCGTGGTTGGCCTTGCTGCCCAAGGCCAGGCAGCTGCCCTTGCTGACCGAGTAGGTTAGGGCAACCCCTTGCCTTGTTCTCTAAGGTCAAGGTGGTCCTCCCACCTACTCTCTATTGTGTGTTGACACTTTTCATTTGATTATTGTTCATGCTATTTAGTTTAATTTAGGATTAAATTAATTGCTTACTTTTTCTCACTTATCATTTCTCCCACATGGAAGGATGATTGAATTTTTTGGAGCCTTTGCCTATAAATACCAACCTTGAGAGTTGGGATTATTCACTTGAGTTGAACTCGATAAGGTATCTCTCAAAAAGTGAGAAAGCCTTTACGTTCGTAATACTCTAGTTTATTTAAGTCTAGCCTTGTCGAAGTTACGAGGTAAGAATTTGTTCGGGCGCGAGGGTGTGAAACGGAGGAGGGCTTGCACTTGCGGGTTTTTTGGTTTTCCGTGTTCGTGCTTGGGGTTCGTGAGAAGCACGCGTCAAGGGTGAGCAAGTCTTATCCTTACTTTCTCTCTCTTCTTTTTATGCAGTGTTTATGCTTTCAATAATTTTATGTTATTTTGTTTAGTTGTAATTATTATGCATGCGATCCTTTTGCGAGTTATGTTTCCGCGCGGTGTCGGACATCGCAAAACCCAACATATATGTATCTTTTTGTTGGCTGATATGTTCCTTTTGTTGGTTGATATGATTTTATTAATGTCTGATATCTTTCTAATGTTGGCTGATATCATACATCAGTTGGCTGATATGTTCCTTTTGTTGGCTGATATGCATGATATCACACCCAGTTATAAAGGATATCATCCAACTTATAGATGATATCATCTAGACAATGGAATTTTTTTTTTAAAATAGTAAAAAAAATCTAAAAATTAAAAAGTTAAATCAACAATCAACCATTCTAATTCGTATAAACTTTTAAAAATGAATGCAATCACATGATATTGATATAGCTTCAATTAAATAAGATTCTCAATTTCAATCAACCCCGGCCTCGACTACATCAATCCAGCAAAACATACCATTTCATCCAATTTCTGCTGCTAATAAACATTTTTTTTCCAATACAATTGCTTCAATTAACTAGGAAAAAAACAAACCAGAGATCCACAAAGTCAACCCTCAAACAAATCAAACTACCAAAGATTCAATCAAAAACAAAAAATCGGCAGACAAAACTATGCTGCTAAATAACGCGGAGGAAATCGACGGTGGAGAGCTGAGAAGAGAGAAATAACATTGACAATGGTCAGCATCGGCGCTGTGGGAAATCGTCGGAGAAACCACCATTAAAGAGGAAGAGAGAAAGTAATAGAGAGAGTTTGCTTGGTTCTTCAAGTTGCTGCACGAAATATAAGGTGCGGACTGCCACACCCAATAATTTGTGTTAAAAAAAAGAAAAAATTACCAGGAATAATCCGACTTTTACCTCATTCGCCCAAAATAATCTCACCTTTCGATTATTTTTTAATAATCCGACCTTTAATGTCAATCTTTTTCAAATGGTCCCAGGTGACTTATAACTGGTTGAGTAGGTAATTTTTTTTAAAATTTAATTTACACATGTCATCACGTGATTGGTAAAAAAAAATTTAAAAAGAAAAATTAATCATAATTTGAAAAAAAAAAAGTAAAATCTAATTTTTTTTTTTTAATAAAAAAACCACCACTACCCAAGCCACACTACTTCTTCCACCACAACCCAAACCCAGACCCCCGGAACCACCACCCCACCTAGACCCAAAACCACCGCCATGCCTATTAGTGATTGTTCTGCTTCCAGCTCAGCAAAGCAATGCAAGCAACTTATGGCTGATTTAGCAAAATTAGCATTTGAAGATTTTGATGACTCAGATGCAAAGAATGAGAAGCTTCTGGAATAATCTGGATACAAGTTAGTTATAACTAACTTTCTGAAATCACAGAATGACGTGGCAAAGAGTTTGTTATCAGCTCTTTTGTAATAGCAGAATATATATAGTTGTAATATAGCTTATGCTCAATGTATTGAATCACAACTTTTGTGTGATCAATTTTAGTCTCATTTTCTCTCTATTTTTCATCATCTTTTTCTCTCTAAATCTTCTTCTGTAATTCTCACAAAATGTACAAAAAGGTTTGATTCAATGAAATGAAATTCCGCTGAAGTTCAAATTACTGTTTGATTGAAGTTTGATTGAAGTTCTTCACCAATTTCTTTATGTTATCAGAGCGGGTATGAATCTGCTACTTGTTGTTTGTTCGACTTCATAATTGATTAAGATTCTTTATTTTGTTTGGATCAATTTTTTGTTGCTTGGTTTTCTGGAATCTGCTTGATAAGTCGAGGAATTTGTTGATTGTTTCTTCAATTTTTGATTTGAGAAATGGCTGGACCCACTGTTATTTTAACTAACGATCCTTCAAGTATATATTTCATTCATCCTTATGAGAATCTTGCAAATTCGTTAGTAACTCAGAAATTCAATGGTGAATGCTATAATGAATGGAAGAGAAGTATGACAATAGCATTGTCAGCAAAGAACAAACTATGTTTTGTTGATGGTAGTCTTTCTAGACCAATTTCTGGACCTGAAATGCAAGCTTGGGATAGATACAATGCTATGATTACTAGCTACATTTTACATTCAGTAGATAATACTATAGCAAGAAGTGTGTTGTATTTTACTTCTGCAAGAGAAATCTGGAAAGATTTGGAAGACAGATATTCTCAAAGTTCTGGTCCACAATTGTATAATCTACGACAGTCATTGAATGATCTTTCTCAAGGATCCACTCTTATAGCAGAATTCTTCACAAAAATCAAAGCAGTTTGGGATGAAATCACTGGTGTTAATCTTGTTCCAATATGCACTTGTACTGGTTGACTTGTGGTATTACTCAGAAGATACTCAAGCAACAACAGGAAGAGAGGTTGATTCAATTGTTGATGAAGCTTGATGGCAAGTATGCTAGTGTAAGAACCAATATTCTGATGATGCAACCATTACCAAACGTGTCTAGCTTACTGACTCTTGATGCAGGAAGAAAAACAAAGACAAGTGAGCATGGTTGACACTGGAAATGCCAACTCAATGGCATTTTGCAGCAACTGAACAGAGAAGATACAACAAATCATCACTTGTGCCACGAATTATGCCACGGGAATTCAAACTTCGTGGCATAATTTCATTTAGCCACGGGAAATATGAATTATGATACAAAACCTAAATAAGATGAATTATATATGCCACGAGTATTTATTTTTCGTGGCAAATATCACACTTGTGCCTCGAGTAGCGCTTTTCCCGTGGCAAACTTTAGATTTGTGCCACGAGTATCTCTTTTACACTACTAGTGCCACATGTAATAATTTTTTCCGTGGCAAGCATACACTTATGCCACAGATATTTCTACATTATAAAGTTTTTGTAGCTAGATCTCCTCATGCCATGGAAAAGGAGGAAATCATAGTGTACAATAACTTTATTAAGAATATATATTTACAAGATAATTAAATTAGATAGCATGATTTAGCCATGACCCTGATCAGACCTCAACCCTCACGTTTTTATTTTTTTTCGGTAATTGCAGGCTAGACACTTGTGAGTAGAGAGGAGGGTAAAGAAATCCCTACTCCCAAGTACCCTCATTTGGTAGGATTCGAACCCCAAACCTCTAGGATCCACAGTAAGAACGTTACCAAGTGAGTCAACACTTTGTTGGTGACTAAATTTAATTGGCTTCCAAATCCAAGTTATTACTATAACAATTTAGTTTTCATTATTATAATTTTTTTTTTTTTTTTATATTTTTTTTTTAACATTTGTTGAAGTTAAACAATGGAGATTGCCCGTAAAAGAAATAAAATACAGAGAATGAAACTGTTACAGTATTTTACTATTTTTCCCCCTTTCGCTTCATACTCACTCGCGCGGCTTTCCCACTACTCCATAACTTCTCCTTTCTCCTGCATAGCTTCTTCTTCCAAAATTTCAATCAGAATTGCTTTTTGTTCATGAAGAATGATGTGAAATTCAGCAAATGTGGCTTTATCGAGGTTTAAAGGTATGTAATTTTTCAAATTAGGGTTCGTTCTTGTAATTATCCCTTTTCTTTAATGAATAATAACCCTTAAATTCGAATTGAATTTTGTTGTTGTCAGTTACTTGATTAGTTTCAAATCAAATTGGATGATTTAAAACCAAGAAAATTAAGCTTCATGAATAAATTCGAGCTAATTTAATTAAAACGGAGTTGTGTTCGTTGGGGCTAGTGTCAACCTTGTGGTGTTGTTGTTTGTTTAAAATTGTGAGTTTGGTTGCTGTCGATTTAATTGAAATAGCTGTCACATCGAAAATGGAGGGAAGTAGCAGTCATATAACATAATTAATTACAGTATATAGTTAATCAAATTATATAAATTATTTTCAACAACAATTCAACATACACATGAAGAGTGCTGTCAATTTAAAGGTATGCTAAGGAAGCATAGCGTTCAGTTTACAATTTTAATTTTAATTAAAAAACAGCAGCATATGATGCTTACAAATCTGCAACGACATACATCAGAACTCTTGATTTTCTTGCCAAAGGAACGACTTGGTAGTTTTGGTCTTTTTGGACAATCCTTTTGCTTCTCAATAGTTAAATTATGTTCTATGTCAGTCATTTTGCTTCGGATGCGAATATATATGCAGTTTAATATGAGAAATCGTCCTTGCCAAACTGCCAATATCTTCTGCCTGCTGCTGTAATAGAATTTTAATCTCATATGCTAACATAATTAAACTTTTGATAGCCTGACCCATTTTAATGTGAAGGAAATTGCCACTGATAATCATAGTTTGATAACCAAAAGTAGCCACTTTACTTTTATTTTATGGTGTTATATTTTTCTTATATGCTTCGATGACAACTATTATCAAGTAGAATTACCTAGCCTTAAACTATAATTAGAGGGTGGGACTAGCTTGAGCTTCATAGGATCGATATACCACACCGCAATCCTGCAAAATCAAGTAAACAATTAATTAACATTAACTACAAGACAAAGGAAACTAGTTAGACATTGCTACTTGTTCAAAGATTCATATTCTAGTATAAGGCCTATAGATTAAAAAATTTGCAGTCACTTCTACATAGTTATTATAAAGTTATTATTTGGAAGAATAAAACAAAAAAGAACAAATACTTTGCTGCTGCATTGGTTTGGTTGTTTGTGACTATTTAGAGGCGTCATACTTTAAGCAACATTTTGATTTAGTTGGCTCTATTTTTTCTACTTATGCGGATACATCTTAATTAACTTTTTGTAGATATATTTGTAAATTTGCATGGACAATTAAATGAATGGCTACAAGGCTATTTTTTATTTTCTTTTCATTTCGGTGTATCAATTGACCACTCATAATTACATATTTTGTTTATTGATGCAGGTTAAGGTTCAGATTGTGGGGTTTGCAATCAACGGAGAAAGATATTCTGATTGATAGTATTAATGAGTTTGTTTTTCTTCCTTTTTAACGTTATTTTGTTTGATTAATGTTTAACAAGTGAGTAGTTAGTCTTGGAGCAATCAATGCTGACAGGATATAGTATGAGGAATTTTTTCACAATGAAGTAGATTGAACAAAATTAAGGGGTGAGACAGGACTGTAGTAAATATATGCCCGATGAGTTCGGTTTGGTTAATGGGCTCGTGATGATCCTGATTTTGTTATTATCTGTAACCTTCTCTTAATTAGTAGTTTTGACTTTGGCCTATTGTGCTGCTTGCGTAAGTCACTTAAACTCTAACTTCTACTTTTCTTTTGCCAATAGTCAGGTAAATCTAATGCTTGTCTCTTCCAAGTTTTTAAAATTTTATGTTTTATGTTTTTCTTAATTAAAATTTGCTATTTTGGGATTATCTATCCGATCAATGAATATTGTGTGATGCTATTGGTGAATGTCTTGCTATCTTATGTGTTTTGTCACCATGTCTGCTGAGTTCTTTTTTCCCTTTGTTGTTGAAATTGTTTGCAATACAATCAGAAACAGAGAATACTGATATTTGTCACAAAAATACCAAAATAGCATTGTAAGTTGTAACTAAAAAAAAAAAAGAACTTACAATTATCTTTGGGCTGGAATTGAATATTGTAATTAGATGTTATAGCTATAGTGATGGATTGTGATGGCTGATGTAGTAATGTAATGAATTTTGTGTGATACAAAGTAATGTATCTTTGGGTAAATTTGGGAAATATTATATTGCACATTGATATATTGCATGAAAGATATTTGATTTAGTGGTCATTGGTCTGATATGTTTTGTGAAGCATTTAGAATAGTTCGTAAATGGTCTCCTTTGGACTAACTTCAGTATGGTTTGTAGCAGCTATAGCTTCTTTATTCGTAAGGTTTTTACCTAGAAATGAGTTTAACTGCGGATAACTAGATCTCTGTCTGTTACTCTAGCAATGGATGCGTTATACTACCTCCTTTTGTGCAGCACCTATCACAACTTTTTCATGTGAATCTAAGTAGATGACTGCCGTGTCTGTAATAATCTTTCTCAGCTTCCATGTCTTCTAAATAGATGACTGCCATGTCTGTAATCAAACCTCCTGTTTTCTTATTTGTAGCAATTTGGCAGAATAGATGACTGCATGAACTTTCATTTAGCTTCTTTTCTAATTGTTTATAGTTCTTGAGAGTGAAAGTGGCTCTTTAGTCTGACTAAATGCAATCTTATAAAAGTGTGATATGTGCTACCTGGACTTGAATTCTGGTCCAAAGTACTTATAAATAGAAATTCTCAGAATTTGACCAAGTAGAATTTGATGTTTTGTAATGTACAAGAGTGTATTTTTACATTCTTTCTTAGTGTACTATATATGCTACTCCGTGAGTAGCAAAACTTTGTAACATTGGCTCATACATATCTTAATATATGCAAATATGTTTCTCCTGAAATTGCAGTGAATTAAATTTCGGACTTATGACATAACTGAAGAAAGCGCATACTAGCTGAAATTGAAGAAATTCGTGTTGTGCAGTGTGCAGAGTAAGCAATGTGTGTTAGTTGTTCCAAGGTTTGCCACTGTTTTTGTAGTTGGGCGATGCTGCTGCTCTGTTGGGAACTGCTGCTGCTTTGCTTGTTGCTACTCCAATTGTAGTGTACTTTAATTGACTAATTGTATTTTTTTTTTTCCATTTTTTTTGAGTGAATAGTGTAAATTTACAAGCTATTAATGAAGATATTTAAGTTTTATGTGTATATTTTTACTATGTCTATTGATCAATTTAGGTGAAAAAATTCAAAACAAAAAGTCATTGGTTAAAGACAAAACTGGTGTCTTTAAGCCGTTTTGAACCGATGCGTAATTGCTTTTTTCTACTTGTATTACTAGCCAGGACAATATTTAAGGCAACATATTTTATTATTGTGGCAAGCAACCTTATTAGCCACGATAATATTTGTGGCAACGATGTTTATTAGCCATTGTAGAAATTGTGGCAAATAATTTGTTAGGCACGTTAGTATTCATGGCAAGTGAATTTGTTTGCCACGTGAATACCCGTGGCATAAATAATAAAATTTGCCACGACATCCATTTTCCCGTGGCAATTTCCCAGCCACGACCTCTTGTGCCACGGTAGTAAATTTCAAAATTCCCATGGCTATATAACATAGCCACGGGAATTTTAAACTTATGCCACAATTCTACTCGTGGCACAAAGGTCAATTTGTTGTAGACCTAATTAGTTCTTTACTGGTTCAAATAGATTTCAACAAGGACAACAGTTTCCTAGGAACGAACTTGTACCTGGAATAAGGAGGAATTCTGGTTTATTCTGTGAACATTGCAAAATGTCAGGTCATACAATATACAGATGCTTCAAAATCCCTGGCTATCCACCTAGCTTTGGGCATAACAAGTTCAAAGGCAAGAAAGTGGTTGCAATCGTTTATGGTGATGATGATACAACTGAGAATGAAGATTATGAGACTACTCACATCTCTATGGGATAATATAACCAGTTCATGCAATTGGTGAACCAAGAAGGCAGTTAAAACAGTCAGAGCAACATTAATGAAGCTACAGGAAGCAACGTTGCAGGAACAGGACAAGTGCATGCTGCATCACCTTCAGCTCATTTAGCAGGTACTTGTCTTCTGTCATGCTTTAATAGAAAATGGACCATTGACAGTGGAACTACAAATCATATGTGTTCTTCCTTTGATTTGTTTGATTCTTACATCATATATACAAAGTTTCCTAATACTATAACAATGGCTAATGGGAAGCAAGTTGTTGTTGAGAATGTTGGGATTGTGAAGTTTCAAAATGGTATAGAACTTAGAAATGTATTACATGTGCCTGGTTTTCAGTTCAAACTGATTTCTACATACAAGCTATGCAGAGACCTTGGTTGTGATATAAAATTCACTCATGACACATGTATAATTCAGGATCTTACCAAGAACACTACCCTAGTTCTTGGTAAATTAGAGTCAGGACTCTATGCAGTAGTAGATTCAGCAGGATCTAGGCAAATAAGCAAGCCAGCAAGGATAGGTAATGTCTGCTTGGCCAGTTCAGATGAAGCCAAATTCTGGCACTTGAACATATACCTTTCAATAAAATGCATCATATCAATGAAGTTTTTTCTTCTAAAATTGATTGTGATAGCATATGTCAAGTTTGTCTCCTAAGAGTAGCATTAAGACTGTTAGAAGCTTTGAATTGTTACATGTTGATACTTGGGGACCTTATAAAGTTCCTACTCATGATGGCTATAGTTGGTTTTTAAGCATGGTTGATGATTTCTCAAGAAATACTTGGACATTCTTGATGAAACACAAAAATGATGCTGTAAAAATAATAGAAAACTTTGCTGTTTTTGTTTAAACTCAGTTCAATGCAAGAATTAAATGTATTAGAATTGATAATGCAAAAGAGTTGTGTGAAGGTGATATAATTATTTTCTATCAGTCTCAAGGCATAGTCCATGAAAAGAGTTGTGTAGATACACCACAGCCAAATGGTGTTGTAGAGAGAAAACATAGGCACTTGCTTGAAACTGCTAGAGCCTTATACTTTCAATCTAAGGTTCCAGTCTATCTTTGGGGTGAGTGTCTTTTGTGTGCTTGAGTAGTATTGACTTCATTTCACCCAATGAGAATGCCCTTGAGTAGTGTTGACTTCATTTCACCCAATGAGAAGCTGATGGGAATTAAACCTAAGCTTGAGCATCTCAGAGTGTTTGGTTGCCTTTGCTATGCCTCTACTTTGAAGACTAACATAAGCAAGTTTGATTCCAGAGCAATTCCTTGTATACTTATTGGTTATCCACCAGATCAAAAAGCTTATAAGCTTTATGATCTAGATAACAAGAAGGTCATCATTTCTAGAGATGTCATATTTAATGAAAAACATCTCCCATTTCACCTTTCTCATTCAAATCCTAAACCATGCCCTATCTTTACACCCTTAACTTTTGATGATTCCTTTGATATTCCAGAACCTCTGATTTTGGATTCTGACAGTACTGATATTAGTATTTCAGAAACTAATTCAACACCTCATTCAGATTTTTCAGCCACCCAAACACCACAAAATTCTCCACTATCCCAAAATTCACAACCCACTCATAATCCTGCACCTGTTAGACACTCAGATAGACCTCATAAACCTCCCTTTTGGATGACTAATTATGTTGGTGTTGCCATTAACTCTCAACATTGGTGCAACATAGTAAAATTTGATGAGATGCCTTTTCCTTTCAGAGCTCTTGTCTGTCATGATAGTCAAATTACAGAACCCAACAGTTACTTGGAAGCTTCATAGGATGAAGCATGGGTTGAGGCTATGAGAAAGGAGATTGATGTCTTAGTCTCAAATGGCACTTGGGAGCTAGTACAGTTTCCTAAATGGAAGAAAGCCATTGGATGCAAATGGGTGTTCAAAGTTAAACTGAAAGCAGATGGTTCAGTTGAGAGGTTCAAGGCCAGATTAGTTGCTAAGGGGTTTACACAAAGATATGGCATAGACTTTGAAGAAACCTTCTCTCCAGTTGTTAAAATGGCAACTGTTAGATGTCTTCTGTCACTTGTAGCAAGTAAGCAATGGCTTCTACATCAACTTGACATTAATAATGCATTTTTTCATGGGAATCTTGTATGCAAGCTTAAGAGATCCTTATAAGGGTTAAAACAGGCTTCAAGACAATGGCTTGCTAAATTGAATGTTGAGTTGCTTGTTAAAGGGTTCTCTCAATCCAAGAATGATTACTCTTTATTCATCAACAAAACTGCACATGACATTACTATTGAAGCAGTTTATGTGGATGATATCATCCTTACTGGTTCAAATACAGACACTATTTTGGATTTGAAAGCTCATTTGCACAAGGCTTTCAGCATAAAGACTTGGGGCAATTACACTTCTTTCTTGGGATTGAAGTCTGTTATATCAGTCAAGGAATTGTTCTGTCTCACAGAAAATTCACTAGAGAGCTCTTGGTTGAATGCAACATGGATCTATCCAAGTAAGCTAAGACTACTTTACCACCTAGTCTCAAATTGTTGAGTGTTAGTGGCATTTTTTTTGTATCCTAATCTTGTATTCTACAGATGTCTAGTTGGGAAGTTGAACTTCCTCACACACATTATGTAATACCCCGTATTTTTAAAACGTATTTTCTAATTAGTTAATTAATTAATATTTTCTAAAAAGGGTATTTTAGTAATTTATTTTACTATTTGATATTTTGGAGCCAAAATGATATTTGAATTTTGGCGCCAAAAGCATTTTAAAACTTAATTATTATTTTTGGATTTTGGATAAGATTTATTATCCATTTATTTTATTTTAAAAACCGGATTATATATACATATATATTTTGGATATTTTAATTAAGAAAAATTATACTTTATTATTTAATTAAAAGAGCCAAATTTCCTAATTAATTAACTAGGAATTTTCTGATTTTCTTAGTGAAATTAATTAGTGAATAATCGGTATTTTCCTAATTAATTTTTTTATACAAAATATATTATTTACACAATTATTTTTAATCCTTAAAATTTAACAAAATAATGCCTAAATACTAAGAGGGAGGTCCAAAAATATGAGCTTAGGAAAGCTCAAATTTTTGGCTACCACATTGTATTTTTGAGCAAATTATTTTGGTAATTTTTGTATTTTAATTATCTTCCTTAATTCTTACTATTTTCCTTAATTCTTATTTCCTATCTCATAGAGATTAAGCCTTCTTATTTATTTACGTTAAACCATTCTTGATTATTCGCCAAATAAAGCCATTTTCCATATGTAGACACCTGATTGTGTCTCCCCAAAAACCAGACTTAGTGATGAGTCCCTTTCACGTCTTTGATTAACGAGTTTGGTGAAGAGTTGAAGAGTCTCGTGAAGACCCCTTTAGCCTCGACCAAATTCCTAACCTTTCTTAAAATGTTTAAACCAAAATCATTTATTTCGTGTCCTTGAAAATCATTCATTTCGTGTCCAATCCATAAAAACGTCCAAGCCAGATTATTTTGGTCCATAATACTGGTTCAATTATTGTTTAGTTGGATGGGGCTTGAAAAGAGCTGTCCAACGATATATTATAATTAAAAATAATAAGTTATGGCCAAAATATTAAATTCAGCCCAAACTGGACTTAGGTCCATCTTACCTACGACCCAATGATCATGTGGAGGGTCCAAAAACCTTAATCCCAATCCTAAACCAATTATGATTCATTAGGAGCTTCTAGAATCCTTTAGACGGTTCTAATTTATCCTTTCCCCGAAATATAAGGATTAAAGAATTCGAAGCTGAATAAAACATCTCTTTTTTAATCCTAATCCCGGTCAAAATAGAATACATACGGGTATTTGATTAAACCAATTCTATTGGAAGTCGGACTCCGTACGGATTCCAATCTTTAGGAAACCATCACAGAACGACAAGACCATCGTGCAGCGATACTCCTATCGCGCCGTGATGGAACCTGTTTTATTCCGTTCCAAATTCTGACTCTAATCTGATGCTTCGACTCTCTTTTTTCCCTATAAATAGAGGTCGTATCACCCCGTTTTCAATCACCAACAATCATCATCAATACCCTTTCTAATATTCTCTCTCCCTTGCTTCTTCATGTTCTAAGCCTAGCCTAAACACATCCTTGATACTTTCCCCAATCAAACACCGTACCTCCTTTGCGAGATTCGAATACTCCTAGCCATCCTCGACGTTGCCTTCAACC